GAATCATGGAATCATTCAGGCTGGAAAGACCTGCTAAGACCATCAAGTCCAACCGTTCCCCCGGCACTGCCAGGGCCACTGCTGATCACGTTGCCACGTGCCACATCCACACGGTTTTTGAACACTTCCAGGGATGGGGACTACAGGGAAGCTGCAGAGGGACTGCGTTAGGAGCTGCAGTCACAGGACAAGGAGCAATGGGTACAAATTGAAAGAGGAAATTTAGATACCAGGAAGAAGTTTTCCCTGTGAGGGAGGTGAGACACTGGCAAAGGTTGCCCAGGGAGGCTGTGGCTGCCCCAACCCTGGCAGTGTTCAAAGCCAGGCGGCTGGGTGAGCTCTGAGCTCCATTCCAACCCCTATGATGCTGTGGTGACTCCAACACTGCCCTGGGCAGCCTATGCCAGTGCCTGACCACCTTTTCCATGAAGGAGTTTTCCCTCATACCCAATCAAACCCTCCCCTGGTGCAACTTCAGGCTGTTTATTTTTGTCCTGTCACTTGTTACTTGTGAGAGAAAACCAATCCCTATAGATGCATCATCTGCAGGCAGCTGGTAGCAATGGACAGGCTCCAAGGGATGGGGACAAGCATCATCCCAACATCTCAACACCAAGCCCTGTCTCCCTGCTTGTAACCCCTAGAAACCATCACCAGGAAAAATACTACCCAAAAACCTTGCAGGTATCCACTGCTGGGTCACAAAACAGCTGGAAAAGCCCCCTAAAATCAACAAGTGCAGATATTTTGTGATTACAAACATGATGGGATGCATCCTGTCCCTTGTTCCCTGGGAGCAGAGCCTAACCCCACCTGGCTGCACCTCCTGGCACGGACTTGTAGACAGTTTGTAGAGATTGATAAGGCCACCCCTCTTCTCCAGGCTGAACAACCCCAGTTCCTCAGGATTTGTGTTTCAGACCCTTCACCAGCTTTGTTGCCCTTCTCTGGACTCCCTGGAGTGACAGGCTATGACTAAAGGACCAGGCAGTGACCACCCTGCCCACACCTCCACCATCATCCCAGACCCAGGTCCTCCTTTCATTGAACATCTCAAGTTGGGATCATCCATAAGAAACAAAGTCCAATCCCTGTTCCTTCCTCAGATCCCAGCCCCATCTGTCTTCACCCAACCAAACCACCTCAGCCCAGGTTTTAGGGCTCAAGGATGTGGCCCTGGGATCCAGCACCAGGATTCAGCATCCAGATCTGACACCAGGACCCAACACTGAAATCTGGCAGTGAGATCCAGCACTAGGATCTAGTAGCTGGACCCAGCACTTGGATTCAGTGCCAGGATCCAGAGATGGGATCCTGCACTGGAGTCTGGAACAGGGATCCACCACCAGGACCCACCATCACAATCCATCCAGACACTGACTCCATCCCTGATCCAAGGATCTGGATCCAACCAGAACCAACCCAGTCTAGGGGATGGGACTGAGACTCCCCTGGGTTCCTGGTCCCCACTCAGAGCCCTCCCTGCTCCCCCAGAGGTGATTACCGCGATGTACTGGAAGCCCATGCCCACGATGAAGTTGGAGGTCCAGTTGGACAGCCCAGCCACGGCGAAGGCCGCGGGACGGGGCCCTTGGCTGAACAGCTCTGCCACAATGAACCACGGGATGGGGCCTGGGCCGATCTCAAAGAAGGCCACAAACCCAAAGATGGCCACGATGCTGAGGTAGGACATCCAGGGCATTCGCTCCTAGGCAAAGGGAGAGGGAGAAGGTCAGTGTGGAGAAGGGGAATGAAGCACCTGGACACCCTAGATGGTGACATCAACCAGCTCACAAAATCCCAAGATTTCATCGACCTTAGGAGAGATGTGGGTAGCAGGGACTGACCACCCAGCCATAACCTCCCTCAAGGAGGACAAGTCTTTCTTCCTCTCCAACCAGCCCTCCTGCTCCTCCTCCCAGCCCAGCCATCCCCTTGCTGCCCACCACTCACCAGCAGCGTCAGGGCGATGGTCATGAGTATCGCACATCCTGCCATCCCTGCCAGGCCGATCAGGTGAAGGGTCCTGCGCCCAGCTCGCTCCACCACGAAGAGCTGTGGGACAGACACGTGGCCATCAGCACCTCCCCAGCCTGGAGGAAAGGCCTCGGCTCCACACCCTTCCCAGGGAGGCCTGAGGGGGCCGAAACTCACCGAGACCACCGTGAAGGCTGTGTTCACCACGCCAGAGCCAATGGTGGCATAGACAGGCTGCTCCACTCCCGACGTCTCGAAGATGCTGGTGGAGTAGTAGAAGACCTACAAAGGGCATGAGTCAGATCTTGGAGATCCTGGAGTCAGACCTTGTCATGACCCAAGCTCTGGGTGAAACAAGCTGACCCCCAGCATCCACGGCCCCCCAGGACTCACCGCGTTGATCCCTGAAAGCTGCTGGGAGAGCTGCAGGACGATGGCAATGAGGATGGGCTGGCGGTACATGGGTGAGCGGAACAGCTCCATGATGGTCACTTTCTTCTCCCTCATCATCTGCCGACTCTCCTCCTTCATCTCCTGCAGGTCACTGCTGACGTCCGTTGTGCCTCGCAGCTTCTTGAGGACTGAGGGGGAGAGGTGGGTGAGGAGCAGCCGAGGATGCTCCAGCATCCTGGGACAGGCTCAGGGCAGGTCACTCACCGCTCTTGGCCTTGTTCTCCTCGTTGCGGTTGATGAGGAGGAAGCGAGGGCTCTCGGGGGCGAAGGGCAGGATGATGCACTGCAGCAGCGCAGGGACAAAGATGAAGCCCAGCAGCAATGGCCACAGCGAGTCATTTCCCATGATGAGATCCAAACCAAACACCTGAGGAGGAGGAGGAGGAGAGGGGCTGAGCCACCCTGTCCCAGCTGGAAAGGTCCCAGGTGGACCCAACTCTGCTGCCTGTGGGTGTGCTCCAGGCAGGGACACCCATCACAGGGACACAGCTGCTGTGCTGCTTCTGGGGGGCCAACAGACATCATATCCTGATGCTTCCCATCCCAAACCTTCAGATTCTATGGCACTCCTGCTCCTGCTGAGCTCCAGCTCCATCCCTCCCACCCCAGCTTCACCTGAAGAGCCGCACAGATCCGCAGCACCTCAGCCCTGGTAAGCATCAGCAGCAAAGACAAGGATACATCCCCCAGAAGGTTCTCCAGCGCTCACCTGTGCGATGAGGATGCCCAGGACAATGCCAAGCTGGTGGAAGGTCCCCAGGGCCCCTCGCAGCGCCGTGGGGGACACCTCACCCACGTACATGGGCACAAAACCAGTGGTGAGGCCAGAGTAGAGGCCGATGATGAAGCGGCCAAGGATGAGCATCTCAAAGGACAATGCCATCTTGGAGAAGCCCATGAGGACAGATGACACGAAGGCTAAGACGTTGGACATCAGCATGGAGTTGCGTCTGGAGGGGAAACAGAGGAGGGTGGTGAGGAACATCGGGAGAAGCTCAACATCAGCCCTTGTCAGCAGGGTGGCCAAAGCCACCCCTTGGGATGCTCAGAGCCGCTACAGGCAACATCCAAAGCCAACCCATGGGATGCCCAAGTCCAATCCCATGAGATGCTCAAGGCCAACCCCATGGGATGCCCAAAGCCAACCCCAAAAGACGCCCAAAGCCAAACCCAAAGGACGCCCAAAGCCAAGCCCTGGGACACCCAAAGCCAATCCCAAAGGATGCCCAAAGCCAAGCCCTGGGATGCCCAAAGCCAACCCCTGGGCATGCCAAGGTGGATGAGACTATACAACCTCCCCCTTGGATCCAACCAGGCTCAGCACTCACCTCCCAAAGCGATTGACAAAGAGCCCCACAGAGAAGGAGCCAATCATGCCTCCCACGGAGAAGATAGCGACGGAGAGGGACCAGAGCGTGGTGAGGGTGGCGGCGCTGATGGGCTCCTCATATCGGTACAGCCACGTGCGGTTGTAGAAGTCCTCGATGACCTGCAGAGAAGGGGAGGAGGAACCACGGGAGGGGTTAAAGGAGGAGTTAAACCACCCGTCCTGTCCCGGCGGTGCCACCGGAGCGGCAAGTCAGCCCCAGCCAGGCCACCTGTGCTCACGCGGCGATGCGTCAGGCGCCGCTGGCGCGTGGCTCTGCTCCAGCCCAGGGCAGGAATCCGCCCAGGACTGTGGGGAAATGCAGCCCAACGGGTTCTGGCCCTGCCCCGGGAGAGGCTCAGCCCTGCC